GAGAGAGAGAGAGAGTGAGGGAGGTCGAGAGAGTACCTTGCGGAAGGTCCCGAGATGAGCTTGCCGCCATTTTAGGGAGGAGGGTGTCATAACCGCCGCCTCTCTTCTTATATGTAATACTACTACTTAAATTTCAGTAACGTGCTTTTATTTTATTATAATACTTCAATTTTGGGAGAAAGTTCACACAAATATCTCCCTTAATTATTGCTCTTAAAAAAGGGTAAGGTTTCCATAAGCTCGCAACCTTAAACAATCCATTTAAGGCGCACCTTCAAATTTTATCATGCATGTAATTTTGATGTAAAATATTCGTACGATTATCTTAAAATCTATTTTCAAATCTAATATAAAGTTTTAAACTCCAAAAATAAATTAAAATCAAGTGGATCTATAAACATATGAAAATCTTGAAAATGAACGGTCTAGATAATGTGTGGTAAGGTATGCCATTTCTGAGGCTCAAAATCTTTTTTTTTCTTTCACAGTCATACCTCTCGATGTCGAGATGATCAATTAAAGGGTTTTTCAATATTAAAACAACTTTTACCCATAGACTTTTGAGGTGCATCTGTAGTTCTATACTTTGAGGTACATTTGTAGTTCCATACTTTGAGGTGCATATGTAGTTCTATACTTCCTATAAAAGATCTATGCTGTCCCTACCATCCAGCCGTTCAACTTTGATCAAGATAGTCACTCACCGTTTGATATAAAATTTGATGTCTTAAAGTATTTTATTTTTAATTTTTTTATACAAATTGTATGAATTTGAAATTTGGTACGTGCCATCTTCTCATTGGGGAGCACCTATAAAAAATATTAAAAATGAGTTTTCGATAAAATATAATGGCCAAAATACTCCTTGAAACTTTTAGGGGGTATTTTGGTCAGTTTATTTTATTGAAAGTATATTTTTTATATTTTTTGCTAGTGCGAGTTTAATAGAGGATTGGACGTTCAAAATTTGGTGTTAAAATAGTTCATAAAAAAAAAAATAATAATAATAAAATAGTGTAGCGACGTGACATTGTGATTGGGACAATCTTAGCCTTCCATTCAAAATGGACGGTTGGATAAGGGGAAGTATATAAGTTTTATGTGGTAGGGAAAGCATAGAAAGCTTCTTCTTAAAAAAATGACTAATTTTTTTTGTTGGAAAAATTATGTAAACATTCGTTTTGGTATTCATTATTAATAAAATACCGAATACTTTATGTTATTACTGATATGCCAGTTTTTTGGACTTCATAACAATTTTTTAAAGAAACACGAAACTACCCATTTTGAGGCAAATTTCGGTTTTGAAGAACCGATTTTTTTTTAAAAAAAAAGGGTAAAAAGAAACCGGAATCTAGAGAGAGAAAATACACAAAATGGATCATTCTTCCTTCTCTTTTTAAAACTCGACATAACGTGAACAGAAAGATGAAACTTCTGATTGTACACTTTAGAAACGTTCATATATTGAAGGTTTCTCTCTCCTCTTCTTACCCTTTCTTTTTTCTTCTCTATTCCAAGAGGTTTTTTTGTACTCCGATGATTTCTTTGCATTTCTTTTAAAAACAAAAGTTATTGATTTCTGTGCTATTTCTTTTAAAAACAAAACTTATTGATTTCTATGTTATTTTTTTAAAAAACAAAAGTTATTGACTTCAAATTCGAGACTTCCCAAGAAACTGAAAGATTTGGCTGTGATTTTCTTGCGGCCCTTACTTTTTTTCTGCCATTTTGTGAAGTTGGGTTTTTTATGAGGTTCTTAGTGAAAGAGAGAAGTAGTAGGGTTTGAGCTGAGAGAGAGGGAGTATAGGAGGGTCGAAAATTGTAGAGGAGAGAGAGAGGAGAGCATAAAAATTGGGCGTGATGAGAAAGAAAGCAAAGAGCATAAAATTTGAGCATGATGAGCAGAGGGCAGTCGAATTTTCAAAGTTGCTAAAAGCTCTGCTTATCTAATCATGGTGTAAAGGGATAGACCTCGCCATTAAAATATTACTTGTGAGAGGAATTGGCCAATGCTTTCAACTAAATTCATATAAGAATCTCGATCACATGCTACAAACTCTCTAATTACAAAAATGACTAAAAATGAGTAGAGATCATATGTGATGTAGCAAAAAGCAAGGGAAGTTTAAAATACACAGAGGAACCAAGGACAAAAAAAAATCCTTGTATAATGTAGAGAGAGAGGTGGATAGAGAATATTCAAAGTACCAACAAGAAAAAAAAAAAATTGGTCATTTAAGAATTGAAAATTTTATATTTTTAGTTATTTAACAATTAAAAATTAAAATTTTTAGGTATTTCAAATATCGAAATTGGTGTGATTTCAGTTTTTAAAAAACCGAAAATAGGTTGTTTCATCTTTTTTAAAAAAATTATTATGAAGTCCAAAAAACGGACATATAAATAATAATGAAAAGTATTCGATATTTTAATAATAGCGGAAACTAAGATAGATATTTACGTAATTGTCGCTTTTTTTTATTTTTTGCGTATATCTCTTTTTTCCCTAATTTTTTAATCCAAGTTATCTCTACCTCAGATAGCCACTTGATAACTTTATCCTAAAGACCTTGACACCTCTTTTTTTATTTCCCAAATTGCCCCCATGTAATATCTTTAGTGTCCAACATCGCATTGGACTTTGGATATTAAAGATTTAAGCCATATTTTAGTTTTTGGGGATATGAACCCATGATGGGATCTTAACTAGGGGTGACCACGGGTGGAGAATGGGTCGGGTCCGGCTGGACTTGGACCTGGACCCAGACCAGACCCGAATGCATTCGGGTCTAGGTTTTGGACCTAGACCTGACCAATCGGGTTCCGGGTCTCGTTAGGTCCCGGGTCTTGTCGGGTCCATTGCCACCCTCACTATGAGTTTCGTTTTTTTTTTTTTTGCCTTTTCTTTACCATTATATACGCAAATTATTGGCAACAAAGTCATAGCCCACCATTAGATTTCAAACCGTCTTATTTGTCGTTTATTAGCTAAAAATGGTTATGAATTCTTATTGTATACGATCTTTAATATGCACAAACGAATAGGGCTTGAAGTATTTTATCTCTAACAGTTTACGGGTACGGGTCGGGTCCAACCGATTCCGGACCCAAATACTGTTTAGGTCCAGGTTTTAGACCCGGATCTGACCCACCAAGTCCAAATGTTGTACCCATACCGGACCCATTCAGGTATACCTGGGTCAGGTCTAGGTCCATTGCCACCCCTAATCTCTACCGATAATTCAGTTATCAGCCTTGATCAATGTGAACTCGAGATGGGATATCATCGATGGAATCAAGATAGGAAAAAGTTTATACAATGCCGAGGCTCTAAACAATCAAATTAGAGCCCACGTCAAAAAATTCACTAGAAGAGATTGTTTTGATGCCCAAATATCCTCAATTGATCATATGGACATGAAGCTGCTTGGACGTGAGAAAAATATGGATTTCAAGTTTTGAAAATAGTGCATCTTGTAATGCATTTTTGGACCGTCAATTTCCCAGATTTTCAAGTTTTCATAGATCCGCTTGATCTACATTATTTTTTAAGCTTTAAATTTTATAATTAAGATAAAAATATATTTCAACGCCATCACAAAGATTTTCAGTATTGAAACTACATTTCTCTTACACTATGTAATTGTGTGTTTTACTTTAATTGTTTAGAGCCTTGGCTCTATACAAACCGCACCAGGTTATGACCCTGACAAAGAATTCGAAGCTAAAGAAACTCCTCATTCCTCACCACTATCGTATAGATCAGGATCGAACTGGAGAGCCGTTTGAGTTTTAGATGGGAGAACTCGAGATCACCCAAACAAGCAATTTAAGCGGGGATTGGGCCATTTACTTTGTTATCTAAAGGATCGATCTTTGTTATATTTGGGTGAGATCGCATGTGACAGAGGTCCTCACTACCTTCATTATTGCCCCACAGGAATTTACACGACATTCTTCACCTTTAGCCCCATAAGATTTATCCATTTTTGCGAAGCCGAATACTTGTCAACTTCTTCGTGCCGATAAAAGGCTCTAATTTGAGTGAGTGAGATAAAAGGCTCTAATTTGAGTGAGTGAGCCAACACACCTATTTAAGTGCGGTCTTTGTCGGATATCAATCTTATATATGAATTTGTAGATTTTACTTCAGATTTCATAGGTCAATAAAATCGACCACTACAATTATGAATATATATTAAAAAAAAAGGGGGAATTGAAATATAAAAAACTAGACTACTTTAAACTTTATTTTGGAGATTTATTTGTTATTTTTGGATTATTTATCTTAAAGATCAGTATAAAGATACCATTTATTTTTAATACAAAAATATCACACTCATTCTTGCCTATCAAATTTTAAATAAAGCGGGTATAAGTGTGTCACCGACTAGACTCAAAGTTCAAAAAATAAAATAAAATCTTAATTAGAGACAACCATCCACTTTAACATCTAACGAACTTTAACATCTACCGGTCAGGATTATGACCTCCTTGAAGCAATGGAAAATAGTCTCAAGTATACAATCCCTATCTTAATTCTTTTCAGTGTATTAGAATTGCACTAGATTTTGAGTGGTAAAATCATGATACCCAGTGAAAATTCTACTAGATTGGCTTAGAATGCATTCGTATTCTAAATCAATTTCTAAGATGAATTTAGCGGGGGATTGCATTCGAATAAAACCTTAATTGCAAGGTACCACAGACACTCTTCTCAATAGCTGTCCTATCCTAAAAACACACACACACTCTATCTCTCAATAGGATCCTCATCTAGTTGGTTTATACGCGTCCTTAAATGTGGCTTAATAGTAGAAAACAACGGCCTCTAAAATTCAATCCCAACGCTTCTTTAAAATGATTTGGGCTCAAGCTCGGGAACCTAACGAGCGGGCCCGAGTCCGACTATTAAACACAAAAGACAAATGGGAAAAAAAACAAACTTCTGAAGGCATGCAAGCTTGCTTTTGTTTAAAGTGCTTGATACACCTCTTGCACGACCAACAAAAAAAACACTGGCCTTTCCTTCATACAGTGCTATTATTGTGAGATGAAATGAAAAGTTATGGTTTCCTATCAGCCAAGAGAACTCGAGAGCGATACTCCCCAAGGGCCCATATAGGAAATATGTTCCTGTAAGCAGAGTAACTGATCATACAGTTCCTGTTGAAAACACCCATAATCTCCTGCAACAAATGTTCAAGGATGTGTTAGAGATTTTGAACAAAGATCAGAAGAACAGCTAAATAGCTGTCAACAAAGAGAAATTTCCTAGTTTCATATCCTTTTTTTTTTAATTGGTTTTCATCATTTTCTTTTTTTCGATGTTTTCTTAACGTAGATTACTGTCCTAATAATCCAATATGCAAGAGAGAGAGAGAGAGAGAGAGAGAGAGAGAGAGAGAGAGAGAGAGAGGAGGGAGGGGAGGGAGGGAGGGAGGAGGTA